ATTTTCTCCCCGTTTAAATCTACAAACTCATAAAGCCCGAATCCTAAATAAGTTTTAAAATAATAAAATAAATAGACCTAGTGAACAGAAATAATAGGTTAGATTATTTTTTTTATTGAAAAATATAACATTTTTTTTTGTGTGCTATACAAAATAAGCTAACTTCCCCATTAAAATCCGTAAACGAATTTTCCTTTTTAATGTTTTTTACATAATACACTAAAATATTGCGACATGCAAGCTTGGATTTTGCAGTAATTAGTGCACTTTGTGCACTTGTAATTATTTTCTTAATTAATACGACTACTGAATTATATCTCTTGCATGATAAGAATTTGTGTATAATAATTTTTTAAAATAATTAAGTCTTATACTTGCGATAAATAATAGGCCATCTATATCAATTTAAGTGTTTTGCATTTTTTAAGAACAATATTATAATCATTCATTTAAAATAAAAACACAAAATTTTCAGCAATATTCAAATTGAGTTGGCAAAATATCATTGCTTAGAACATAATAAAGTTGCTATAGTAGGAAGATTGTTTCACTCTTAATCAGAGGCCTCAGGTTTGAGTCAGGATATGGAGAAAATCCTATTGGGATCGGAGCACCACCCTCGAAGCAGTGTGCGATCCAAATTTAATCAAAGCTCCAATACGAGTATCAAACATCGAGTGAAAAATAAAAAAAAGGAGTAGCTATAGTAAAGAAAATTAAAGTACCCCTAGATGCCCTATGGTTTAACGGCCTATAAATTAATAATAGTATAAAAGAACTTTACATTTATGATAAGATAAAACTAATTAAATTATTTGTTCATAATAAATGAAACTTATTATAACAAGTCAAATTTAATTGATAATACTAAAGAAAGAAATAGGTTATACTTCCCAAGTATATAAGTTTAAGTTAAAATTATTAATATTAAATAATAGTAACATATAATATTAAATATAGCAGTACTCAGTCTTCAAGAGATTGACAAGCTAGATGGATTATGACGAATCATAGATGTCTCTTGTTTCAACGGTAGGCTAATTAGTTAGGAGTTCAAGAAAATTGAAGAATCACTCTAATTGAGGTGTATTAAAATAATGAAATATCTTAATTAATATACTGATGTCATGCCATGTTCAATTTTAAAAAAAATATTATAGTTGACACTTTGACAGCAGCTTATTGATGACCAAGTTGGGACGTTGAAAAAGAAAAAGAAAAATGAAAACCAGGTGCACCTCATGTATAATAATTCAAATTAAAGACTTCTCCCTCTTATCTTTAAAGATTTCGGTGTGATGGTGAGTATTTTTTCATTTTTAGATAGAGATGTCAAGTTTGAGTCATGCGCTAGCATAGTTTTTGTAGGAAAAGCATCCCAAGTCCCTATATAGGAACTTTTTCAACACTTGAATTTGATATTAGAGACCTCGAATTTTGTAGGTAACATACTTCTTCATTCTTAGATATTACAGACCTCGAATTTGAGTTTGAGAATAAAATCATCTTTCATAGGAAAACCTCTTGCAATATAGGACGAGCTTTCCGATGCATTGATCCGCATTATTTAATTTGGGCCTAAAACATGTATCAAACACCGAAAAAGAGAAATAAAGTCTAAAACATGTATCAAACACCGAACGAGAAAAATAGGTTGTATTATTTTTAGTTTCTACTAGCTACTACAACATTTTATAAATGTTTTTATCTAGGGCACTAGGTTATTGCATGCACCTCATATATAATGCATTGTTCAAATACCTCTCTGGTAAATAATTTTTCATCCTTAGTCAGAGATTTCGAATTTGAGTCTTGAGAATGAATTTGTCTTTGATAGAAAAAGCTCTCTTAATATAGGATTTTCAGATTCGTAAATCCAGATAATTTGGGCCTAAAACGTATGTATCGAACTATCGATCGAACACCTCACAAGTAAAATATATAGCTCTCTTGGTTTTGAGTTAGTTGCTAGTACTACAACATTTTATAAAATGTTTATCTAAGGCTTTGGGTAATATTTTGTACAATTAGATCTTAGGTCAACGAGTCTTATTTTAAAGGGATGTGTTGCAATTACTTTTTCAAATTGGCAGTCATTTTCTGTTATTGAAAATTAATATGACATTTAAAAAAAAATATTATAGAACATGAATAGATCAACCCTCGAAATTATTCAACGTCATAATACATTAAAGAAAATACTTCTGAGGGACAGATGTAATGAGAGTCAAGAATCTTTTTTTTTTAAAAAAAAAACGTCATAATCTTTTTTAAACTAATTCAATATAATGTTGAATTCACATTTTAAATTTTCAATTTACCGTCAAATTAAATTAAATATGGATACATGAGTTAAATCTTTATCTAAATATAACAACACATTTATTTTATAAGAAGAGAAAAAGTAGCTATTTTCTTGCGCCTTCGTTGTAGGTTGCTTTCTCTTCGGTCCATTTCGGTTATCATACTTGTTAAAGTAATTCGTTCAAAATATATAGTTATCATTTTTAAAAGTTAAAAGATAAAATTAATTTTTAATTTTTATTTCTATCCTTACTTAATAAATATGGAGATAGATTAATGTGGTGAAGAAGAGAATAGTATTAAATTGAGATTAACTAATAAATAAAGATAATTTAGTCAAATTACTATTATTTTAGTTAATATTTTTTTAAGAAAGGTGTAAAAGCAAAATATGCCAAGTAATGGATCGAAGGTAGAACCTATTCTGTTTTAAAAGAAGTTTACAATGATCACGATTTGCACTTAGTCAGCATTCACGAAAAATAACTCATAATTGTAGGTTTCCAAAGTTATAAAAAAAGAATAAAAGTTACCATTGGCATTCAAGATAGATGCAATTATATGTTTAATAAATTAAAGGGGGTGGTCAATATGTGAAAGCGTTTTAACGCTTTATAATATGTAGAGGGGTGGTGGGATAATGGGGAAAATATCTTCTTACATTTATTGTTTATACATCAAGTTGAATTAATTATGCATAGTTTAATTGATAAATTGGGGTAATATTATATAATAATTAATTATAATTAGGTAATAAACATATAAGATATGAAAGCCATAAATTAATTGATTTGATGTAAATATAAAGTATGTAATTATAATTCATCATCCCAAAGCAAGATGGGTGTGTTCAATAGGTGTAAATGAAGAATTTTCAGTGGTAAAAAATATTTTACTTATTTACCCTTAAAATGATATAGTTAAATGTAGAAATATAGTTTACGAACACATGAGTTAAATTGAACAAGTAATGAAATTATAATTATAGATTAATCATTTGTAATAACTTTATACTCGATAAACAAATAATTGAACAACATGAATAAAGAAGTAAGATTGAATTGCTCTGAGATCTAATGTAGTTGACTAGCAAAATTATCAGAAAAGAAAATTTAGAAACACTAAAATTGTAAAGACTTATGAAGCAAGTAATGCCCTATTTATAACTACGTTTCAAGGGAAAAGATCCACAAATTATATCCTTATAATAAGACCTATTAATTGTCCATTATCATCGTTAAGTAATGACTTACATGTCACATTCTGATTCATATATATGTTGAGTTCGAATTTTACCTTATATAATATCCTATAAGCACGAATTAAATTTATCTGATCAATAATTTCGAATATCAAATGATTAAAACTAAAATATTTACCTCTCCTTTGGACCCTACGAATCTGTCTGGTCACCGGCCATGGCAAATTAAGTTCCTAAGTATGATTTCGTTGACCCTTTTGCCATGTGACCTTTCATTTCGTACGAAGTTTCAAAGTTATCACTACTAAAATAATAAAGTGTAGGGCTAAGCATAAAATACGAAAATCAAATTATTGAATTGAATAAAAAAAATTGATAATTCAATATTTGATATGGTATTTGGGAGTAAAATCTTAGAATTGTGATATTTGAGTTTGGGTTTGGTATGAGACATTAGTACCATTTAGTATTCGGTATTTCCCGAATACCAAATTATTTACTTAATGAAGGTCATATATCAACATATTCATTACTCATGAGTACAAGTCTAAAAGAGAAAGTTAAAGAACAAGCATGAACAATTCAAATACATGTCTTTTAGTTGTATCAATTTACTTTTCTTGATGTCTTCTTGCTTGTTGATCTTCTATTATATTGTGCCTTCACATAAAAAAGAAAGAACTGATTGTAGAAATAGTATTAACTTTGTAATACAATCAGATATAACTTCAATACAGTATTACCGAATACCGTATCAAACCAAAGTTTAATTTACTGTTTAACGTATTACCAAACCGAAATTTAAAATTTTGGTATTTGATATCTACTTTTAACCACCCGAAATTTGAAAAACCCAAACCGAATACCGAACGCCCACCCCTAACGAAGTGGCATCGTATAAAATGTGGTGCAACAGACAATATATTTTTTTTATTTAAAGCTTTCGATTTTGAGTTGTGGGTATGAAAAAATTCTTAGTAGGAAATGTTCTTCCGAATGAGCCTTATGAAGTACAATTTGAATCAGTCGCACTCCAATGCGGATAGAATGATTAAAAAAAGCTAAGGGGTACAATATTTTCAAAAAATATATACATGAAGATCGATCAGAGACAGCCAAAATATACGTTGTTTTATCATTAAGTCTTCAAAACTCATCTGTCATTAACGTTGAATTTGAACTTCAACTGTTCTTTTTTTATACATTTTTTCTTCTAATAGTCAGGTCATCAACAGAGTGTGTATAGAATAATAAATATAAAAATAGAATATGATTGGCGGTCACTAGCTTCAATTTTGTTATTTATTTTTCTTAAAACGTTTGTGTGTAAGAATAGCTATTGGAGGAGACTTACATTTAATTTTAGTGAATTTAATAATAGTATTAGTTTGAAGACAAAAGGCTCCTTTGTGAAACAATTACTACTATAAGATACCTTCAAAGACCCTTAAAAAAGACCAAACAAACAAACAAAAAACTTCCAATTTATAAGCAAATGGAGAAAAAATTGGATAATTCCATCTCAAGAGCTAATAATCATGAAGAAGAAGATATCAAAAAAACTTTAAAGGTAATTCACAATCTCTATTGTCCTTTTTCTTCCTTCTATATATGTGAATAGGTGGACGTATGATTAATTTTTTTTTATGTATGAAGTCTCGGATTTGATCCCTATGAATAAAATTGATTCTGATAGAAAGGTATCCAAATTTTTAGTTTTCGCCTTTGAAACTCAACCTCTATGTTGTTTTTGATTAGTTTCCAGATTTGTTCCAAGTCAACTATGATTTTATTTACAACGTTTTTTTTAATGTTATACACAATATATATTACCCTTCTTAATCAATCGAACTCAAAAGTATATAATGGCTTCCATTTATTATCATAGTTGTACAAGATCTGGCTTAGTTATTTAATTTCTCTGAAATGTTTTGATTAAGTTGGGAAAAAAAGTTTTTTATAAAATATACGAGAAATAATTAAGACAATTAGTTGCATTTAGACATGAATCTCACGTGAAAATTTGCGATTGAAAATTGTTATTTCACTTGAAATACTTTTCAAACAAAATTTTAATGATTGAAAATCGTTAATTCACTGGGAAAATGATGTTTGACTGAATTGTACAATTGTGAATGTAGGATGATGAATTCAAGTCAGCCATAGAAGAGGTGAATGAAATCAAACTAGAGAACGCAAGATTAAAGTTGTTGCTTCAACAAATAGAAAATGATTACACGTCTCTCCAAACTCGCTATTTCAATATTTGTCAACCAGATCTCAAGAAGAGTGGCAGCCCAACATGTACTCATGAAAACATTGCAGATGAAGAAGAATCTGAACTTGTCTCGCTTAGACTCGGGCGAAGTCCGAGTCCAAGCGAGTCCAAAAAAGTTGATAAGAAAAGAAGTTATGACAAGACAATAGAGGACTATCCTTCTTGTAATGATCAGTCCAATGATGGGCTTAAACTTGGGCTGGACTACAGCACTAGAATATCTGAATCAGATTTTATAAAGCCCAGTAATGATCCAACCCCAGGCCCAACTAGTGAAGTTGTCAAGACAGTGAAAAGATGTGATGATGAAAGTGTCAAAAAGGATGCTGGTGATGATGAAATTTCTCAGCCTAATGTCAAGAGAGCTCGAGTTTCAGTTCGGACAAAATGCGATTACCCAACAGTAAGTACAAAAATTCAACTAACATTACGTATTGTCTGTCACATAATAGGTGTGAGTTCAATTCTTACTATTATCTTTCCTTTTTCATGTGTGATAAGAAGTCTATATTTTGATTTAAAGTACAAATTTCTCGATTCATGTCCGAGTTTTAGTTTAGTTGTAAGTTTACTATAAAAGAATTCAAGTTTTTTAAAACACATTTAGTTGATTAGATCAATTCCAACCTTATTCACCTTGATTTCTAACTTTCAATGATACAAATTCATAATATTTTCCCTTTTTTCCCCTTTCAACTTATGATTACTTTGTTGATGACAGATAAATGATGGTTGTCAATGGAGGAAATACGGACAAAAGATATCTAGAGGTAACCCATGTCCACGATCATATTATCGTTGCTCAGTGGCTCCATTATGCCCCGTGAGGAAACAAGTCCAACGATGTCTCGAAGACATGTCTATATTGATCACAACATATGAAGGAACACATAATCATTCACTTCCTATTGAAGCCACAGCTATGGCCTCTACAACTTCTGCTGCAGCCTCTATGCTTCTTTCGGGTTCATCAACAAGTTCTCAAATATCCAAAAATTTCCCAAATTTGCCTAATATTTCGAAAACTACACCTCTCTATTTATCCAATTCATCTTCAAATCCTTTGCCCACCATCACATTAGACTTCACCACATTCCCTACTACTTCATCATTCACTAGTTTCAATTTCCCTTCCAATTTCCAACCCGGTTCAGGATTTCTCTCTAACAGCTTAAGCTTTTCCTCTCCCGAGTCCACCATAATGCCCAAAATTTTGGGGAGTGGGGGTCTAAATTATGATTCTACTAGTACATTACCATATCACAATAACCTCATAAACATTGGATCATCCCAAAAACAATTTGACAATAGTAGTAATAAATTGAAGGAGGATTCTTCTCAACAGGCACTAACTGAAACATTGACAAAGGCAATTACATCAGATCCTAGCTTTCAATCAGTGCTAGCTGCTGCTATTTCATCAATGGTTGGTGCCACCAAAACTTGAATTGGAAATTGGATGAGCAAATTCAGTTTAGTGTAGTATACATTTTAATTAGACATTTTTTTTTCTTGGTCATTTGTTATAGCTTGATATATATACACAAATGTAAACTCTTTGACCACTTTTTTTCTTAAAGCAAAATGACGTTTTACTTAATATTAGACCTTGCCTTTTTCTTCTTGCGATCCTATTGTTTCTGCTTCAGCGTAATATTCTGATTCGACTTAGCTACTTCGTATCGTCGTATTATTCAAATTATATAAATGATGTTGTTTGGCCTTGTTAGATTGGTTTTTGCCCCTTTGAGGTTACAAAAGAAGTTGCATATGTAGTTGGTGATTGAATGTGCCTTTTTCACTCGTGGCTTAAATTTGGTACAATATATTTATTTAGGGTTAATTACGATCCTAAACATTTCGGCCAACTAGTTTATAAAATATGTATAAATCGTAAAGGTTATGAGGTTATGTATATTTACACTACATATATACTAATAGTGTATATATTATGATATTTCAATAAAAACTAGTTGCTCGAACGGTGTATAACTTTCCATATATATTTTTCAGAAAAAACTTTATTTTAGCCAAGCAAAACATGTTAGCTTATACTTTTAGCTAGTTTTTCTTCAGAGTCATTACTATCAAATAATGCTGGTGAAAAGTACTCTTTTTGGTACTAACATTTGGGTAATAATTGAAGGCAAAAGAGATCTCATAATTCATTCTTTTTAAAATAATTTTTAGGTCGAGTTAGAGATTCTTTTTTAGGTTGTTTCTTTGCAAAGATTGTTATCTAGAAAAAAAAAATTCTCCGACCGACTTAATTTCCTTTTCTCAAGTTATGCAATTACTATATTTTTCTCTCTCATTTTGATATGAAATTCGTCTAAGATGTAACATTATTCCTTGACAAATTAGTAGTTTTAGGATCCATTCGATCATGAAAAGTATTCATTTTTACGGAATAACTTTTCATTTTATTTAAAAATGAGTGTTTAACCATGAAAATTTCAAATTCAACTTGAAGTTAAATTCTAAAAATAACTTATAATGTTTTTCAACTCCATCTTGATAATTTCAAATAAAACACCCATTTCTCCCTAGCTATTGTAGAAAATATAATCAAACATAACTCTATCTTCAACTCTAACTTCATAATTTTCATGTTAGATCTGAAAAGTGACTATTACATCTAATATTTTTCACGTAATAAAATCTTATAAGGGATGAAACTACCGTGCCCCTCAATAGCTTTAATTTAAATTATATTTTTATGCTATTTTTTTTTTACTAAATATACATAAATTATTAGTTTAGAAAAAATAGTAAATCCAAAACTAAGCTAAACTCCGTAGATTGAAAGGCACCCTCCGTATATATGGTGTAGTGTGAAACAGCACACACCACTTTGGCAGCTTATACATCACGCAAACTCCAAATCCTTCACTCTTTTAACTGCACAGGGGAAGCCCATCAGAGACGGTCGATTATCGAAGGTCATATACAAATCCTCTCCATTTTCCTTCTGAAATTATTGCTCTCAGGTAAATCAATCTACCTCACTTATGCTTTTCTGCATCGATTCACGTGATTGGTTTATGTGATGTGCGTTTTTTCCAGATCAACCCTAGTGAAATTGACTCTTCATTTTTGTTTATGCGATACTGTTAGTTATTGCTTGGATTGATTAGTAGTTGTTGTTGCATTGGAATATTCTTTGTGATTTTAGAAATAATGTCTGTGCACACTCTCCAGTCCCTACTTGTCGGATTTCACTGAGTATGTTGTTGTTGTTGTTAATTTTCTAGCATTTGATTGCCTTATATGTAGGCCTATATAGCTTTGTAGCAGATTGGCAGCTTGCAAGGCGTTCTCGTTGTGTTTACTCGAACTATATAGTTGAAAAATTAGAAAAAAATTATAGATGTATATGTATTTACTAAATGTTCATTATGTATGGACTTTCCCTGCTTTCTGATTTGTTAATATAGTTTAAGTAAACCAAGTTTAAGAAAGAAAGGTTGTTTGTTTGACACAAACTAACTAATCCAAAACCTCATCTAAATACGCACGAAGCATTAAAAGCTCCCTGTGCCAAACAAAACTCTTGTAGCGGACAGTTCATTTTATATATACGGGGCATTCAACAAGTAATTTCAGTGACAAATGGGAGTTAAAACTAAGTATGTTCCAAATTTTGGAAAGGTATATTTTTGTAAAAGGATCTATAAACAAATTGAGACTGAGAGAGTATGTACTTATATAAAGTCCATATCCGCCTATTGGCCACAAAGGAGAAATTGTGCTATGTTTCTTAGCTGTCTTTTTGCTCTTGGAAAGTAAAGATCTTTATTGAGTTTCCTGTGTTCCTGAATTGCATTTGTTAGTTAGGTGGTGAGGATGTCAACAGCGGCGAAGAAGAGATTGATGAGGGATTTCAAGCGGTTACAGCAGGATCCTCCTGCTGGCATCAGCGGTGCACCTTATGACAGCAATATAATGTTATGGAATGCTGTTATATTCGGGTATGACATCTGGAATTGAATGAAAATCATGGTTCCATAATGATTTGGACTTTGGTGATTGATCCCTTCCCAAACTGCTGTATCTTTGTACTTACAGATTTTCTTTTTTTTCCTTGAAATGCAGTCCTGATGATACTGCCTGGGATGGAGGTGAGACAACATTGCTAAGTGACTACCTTTGGTTGTGATATGAATTGAAGCATTCTTGTTGAGTATCATTCTGCCATAGTTATGCTTCCTGTGACTTAGCTATGCCTTGGCAATTGCTGTTTCCTGCTTGTGTTTTGGTAAATCTCAGTGATTTATGAAAAAGTAAAGTGCCCTTTAACTGGCATATCGGAATGTTAGCTGCATATTTAGTGCAGCTATAAACAAATACTGTGTGGATATGGTCGACTGTGAGTTGCGAAATTGTAATTCATGAATCTTAGTATATGTTGCTTTGTGCCTTTAATTCTGGGATTTTCTTGTTCTATCCTCCCAGCAAAGAAGGTTTCTAGGATTGATGGCTGGTTCATGACCAGTGCCTTCTGCTGTATTAAATATTCTTTATAGCCTTATGCAGGTGGTTAGAGCAAGTGGCCCTCTTATCACTCACTGTTTCTTTAGTAACTTTCTAGTTTTATGTTGAACTTTGTCATCATTACCTTTTCATCTTTCATTAAAATTCTCCAAAGAAAGTAAAGCATCAAAATTTTGGCTAATTTGTTTGGACAATTGCTTTTACAATTCGCAGATATCTCCACTCAACATTGACTGTTCTGTTATAAATTGTTACTTACAGGTACGTTTAAGATGACACTTCAATTTTCAGAGGATTATCCTAACAAGCCGCCAAAAGTACACTTTGTCTCCAGAATGTTCCATCCAAATAGTAAGTAGCTCAAATGAAATTACCCCCCTCTCCCCTCCTTCTATCTCTTCTCCTCTTTCTTCTTAGCAGAGCTGTAATCCTTACGAGTGGCTGAGTGGGTAAAACCATTCACTATGTAACTTCTTATGAATGGATAAAATCTATTTATGCTCTCTCTTTTGTATACACATATATGTGCGTGTTTGTGTATGTTTACTATTATTGTGTTATGTATGGGAGGGCAAGGTTGGTTAGTGTTAATCATTGCAGCATTGTCTGGCCATTTGCAAAAACAACGTAATTTAGCCTCAATTGCAAGCTAGTTGGGATATGCTATATAAATCTTTACTATCCATTTTGTTCCATTTAGACCCGTCTTATAAGTTCTCTCTCATTTCTATTGATGTACAAATCATTCAACAAGATCAAAAAAACTCCCCACAAATATTGGACTAACAAAATTAAGTCTTTATCGCAACCAGTTGGTATTGCTTATAAAGATCTTTTCTTCCATTGTACTCTATTTTTTGCTAAGTTCGCATAAATTCCAAAAGATTATTAGTTTTTCGAAAAAACTTCCATGTACGTTTAGGTTTATCTCATCCCCTTTAAATATCGACCATCATGGTTTCATGCCTGAGGTGCACATTTGGAGGCAGACATAACAAAACCATCTCAAGCGACCTTCTCTTGTTTATCCTCTATGTGCTACTTGCACTTTTCACAAATATATGTAATCATTTTGACTCCAATTGTTTCTAGTTTCCTACTGTTTTGGCATATTCAGCTAACCTAACATCTCCAACTCCAATCTGTGTTTTTGCCTTAATTTTTTTTCAGGTATTGCATATTAGCTTGTCTTATGTTTTTTCGTATTGCATGCAAATTATAGTTTTGCTGATCTCTTTTGCCTTTGCTTATTGTTGCTCAGTTTATGCTGATGGAAGTATTTGTTTGGACATCTTGCAAAATCAGTGGAGTCCTATATATGATGTAGCTGCTATACTTACTTCAATACAGGTATATAAGATATTCTAATTGCCACTTCATGCCTCCTTTCTGGTGCCAGGTATTATTAGAGTCCATCACACTATTGAGGTCATAATGTTTTCATTGGTCAGTAGGCTGGTGTTATCTGCTGCTAATGAACACATATTTGAACGAGTTCCCTTTCCTTTTCCAATTCTCTGTTTGGACTTATCCCCTGGGGAGGCCGAGGGGAGTATACTACAAAAAGAACCTTATGCCTCTATTATTTCAGATCATTTAAGAACGTAACAGGAACCTGATGGATTAATCGAACCCCTTGCCAGCGAAAGCAAGGGGTTTGCATTTTGGGTCGAGTTCGTTGTACCGGGCTTGCCTAGTGTGGGTTAGTGTGGTTTGCGAGCTATTGCATTAGGAGCGGGGGTTTTACCCTATGCACACCCAAAGGGTAGTGGCTGCAGGTTTCCTTTGTCAATTTTAAAAAAAAAAGCATCTTTAGAAATGCTCTAAAGTAGACTGGTCCTTGTTTGTTGCCCTTGAGGTATCATAGATGTATCCCCAAGTGACAGTATTTTCGATGCTGATCAATAAGTTTTTAGTTCTCTGTTGAGATTATTAGTAGACTAAGAATTTTATTTTTGAACAAGCGCATGTAGTTTTGATAATCTAGTCCACAAAGTCAAGTCTTTCTTCATTTTCTCTAACCTTATTTGTTATAAGCAATGTTCTACTTTTATGTAAGAAACTCTCAATAGTTCCACGTATTTACTTAATTGCTATGTTATTTTCCCTTTGTTCATTTTGTTTGACATGTTACACTATTTAGTGAGTCAGTAGCTTTTTGTACTGGCAAGTCCTTAATATGTGGATTTTCCTCGTGCAGTCTTTACTCAGTGATCCAAACCCGAATTCGCCAGCTAATTCAGAAGCAGCACGCCTATTTAGCGAGAACAAGCGTGACTACAACAGGAAGGTGCGTGAAATAGTTGAGCAAAGCTGGACAGCAGACTGACTTCTCTGTTGCTAAATACATTACATGGCATTCTCCTGGTCGAGTTGTCTGCATCAAACTAAGATGTTTTCCAGTGTTTTTGCTACATCAGTAATCAATGTAGTACAATTTGGTCCTTTTATGTTGTGTTAGGAGCTCTGAGTTTCTTTACCTTGATGTTTTGTTGCTCCACTATGAGAGACTCTGTACATATGATCTGTTGTATCCAATTGTCTGAATTTCTATAAAGCTATATTCCCTTTAACTCTGACTTAGACTTAATTCTGTGAGATATAAAATATCTCATTGCAATTTTGTTTCACTTGAGTCTCTCTGGACAGCACTTGCTATTGCTTATACATCTGTAGTGCTGTAAATTGAACCAAGTAAATACAGGAGTAGGTAGAAGTGGTCATTTAGTACAACATGTGCCTTTCACCATTACCATAATATAGTCATCATCGCATGTTTAAGATCATAATATCATAAGTCTTACTTTTGTTCTTAAGACTCCGTGTCCAATTAAGTGTCCCTTATATAAAATAGAGGGAGAAATAGATTTCTTCACAAAAAAAAAAAAAAAAAAAATATATATATATATATATATATATTGATACCCCATATGTTTTCTGGTATGTGACACACTTTTCTGTTTGATTTGTAACGATTTTTTATTTTTTTTTTGCTATATTATGTGGAAAGAACCCTTTGATATAAAAGTTCACATTTTTATGTGGAGAAAAAATTAAATATAAAGGGTATGCAGAACTCTCACTCTTCCTATTTTAATTCTTGACAATAAGGGCAATTTTGATATTTATATATATTTAGTTTATACGTCTAATTTTTTTTATCTATAATTTCTTACACTATACTTGATCTAGCAAATACCGTCACATAAAATGAGACAAAAAGAGCTTGGAGTATTATTAACCTATAAATGTAAAGAAAAAGAAAGCAACATTAAAATAAAAATGCAAGGAGAGAATCTTTCTTTTTTTCTCTGTTTCCAAATTGTATAATAAGGTAATGGTCCCACAGCCAGAGAAGTTGACCCCACACCACAAGCTCCTTATATTGCTCAGAACATGAATCTTTTTTTAAAAAAAAAAATTATCTACTAGACATATTATTATAATTATTAATCTGTCTTGCCTAGCTAGTGGTCCACCCTTGCAAAAACAAATTAAACAATGCCTCAATAATGAAAATTTAAAATAATACTCCCTCTGTCCCTAATTATTTGTCAACTTTTGAATTGGCACACCTATTAAGAAAATAATGATTGACATAGTAAGTTTACCATTTTACCCTATTAATTATGAAGTGGATGAATTAAAAAACTTAAGATTTTCAAGAAGTTTTACCTTTTTTAAAGTAATAAATTAAGGGTATAATAGGTGAAAAAATATTGTCCTTTCTTGATTTATCAAAATGGACAAGTAATTAGGAACAACTAAAAAAGGAAAAGTTGACAAGTAATTAGAGACAGAGGGAATAATATGGTGATAATATAATTCTGGTACGATAACATATGTGCATTTCACTATACACACAATTAATTAATAAACAATTGCGATAAGATGATCAACAAGAAGACCAAAAACAAAACAAAAAAAAAAGAATTACAAGTTTCAGTAAAAATGTTGCTGCACTGGCAATGGCCAATAGTTTGTTTGATCTTCAACATTAGTGAACATGTTGCAAAATCCTTCTTCATGAGTTTGTTCTTCTATTTTAAAATTAGGTGTTTGAAAAACATGATCATGATTAATGTTGTTATGTGGACTGTTTGTTGATGATGTTCTTCCAAGATTTACATCTATTATTGTACTATTCTCATCACCACTTCCATTGTTCCAATTTGAACCTTCATTTTCTTTGTTCAGATTAAACAAAATTGGTGTACCTCCTCCTCCTCCTCCTCCTGATTCTCTGTTCCTCACACTCAGTAACTGCAACTGCATCACAAATAATATGATGATTAAAATTTACAATAACATTGGGAATCGTGCACAACAGTAGTCAGGAGGACAAAAAAGGCAACTATATACTCCTAATAATTATGTATTGAACACAAGAAAAAAGTCGGTGAATTGTTGAGGTCCCACACAACCTTTAAAAAAGATATTTAATGACGTAAATGAAAGAGTACTTTCCATTATTACATTTTGATTAATTAAAAGCTTTATTAAATGAAGGTCAAAATATGAAAAAAATTATTCATTTATTTTGAATTATTAAAAATTCTCAATAATTCACTTAATATGGATCGAGGGAGTCAGGAACTATACTAGTTTATTGCTGCGGAGTCTGGACTGCCAATGAATCTAATTTTTTTCTTAGTATTATTTCATAAAATTACATGCAATAAAAGTTGTTTATGATTGCATGATATATCTACTAATCTGAAAAATAAAACAAAAATATTATGTTATGTGAGGTGAAATAACACTAATAGTGTAACCATTCTTTATGTTATTAGTATGTAACTTAAATCCTCATTCATTTAACAGAAGTTTAAATTATATAAGCTGACAGTACAAAAAGTATAAATAGGTTAGTAATTAGTTTAATAGTGCGATATGGAAAGTTACCATTTAAGGTCAAAATAGATAACTTTTACTGTGTGAATTAATGAAATCTTTAAATTATACATACCTCAGAGTGAAGATTCTTGTTTTGAGTCTTGAGTGCATCATTATCAGACTTAAGTTTATCACACTGTCTCTTCAATATTTCATAATCTTTCTCCAATTGTTTAGTCTTACATCTTGCCCTTCTGTTCTGGAACCAAATTGCAATCTGCCTTGGTTTCAACCCTAAAGCTCTAGCCAATTGCATTTTCCTCTCAGGTTCAAGTTTGTTACCAATTTCAAAACTTCTTTCAAGTGCTTTCACTTGTTCCAAATTCAATCTCCTCTTCTTCTCACCAAGCAATTGTGAAGAGCCATCATCATCCGACATGTCAATATCGTCTACTCGCGAATCTTGATGGTCGAATGACATGGCTCTCCTCATTAACACCGATGAAATTCCTGTATCCACCACGTCCACAATAAATTAATTTGTCATTCGCACATATATATAGTGGCGGATCTAGACTATACTAGACACATTTTCAACTCGTAATTTTAAAAGTGTTATGGGTTCAATGTTTTAAAAAATTAAGGTTGAATACATCAAAGTATAAATTCTGAATCCGCTTATATATACCTAGCTTGGACTAAAGTCCAAAAACTAAAATAATTATGATCTAATAATTTCAAAAGCGTGATGTGCGATGCCCTAAAAAATAAAGGTTGCACATCAAGGATAAATTTGAATTCGCCTCTAGAAAGTAAAATCATTAGAATTCTCTAAATTTAACATTTGAGTATACATAAATATGTAATTAAATAACGCATATATAAAGAGCAAAATTCATTGATTCTAAATTTTGAATTCGTCACTGATATCACACGTAAAATGAAATACTTAAAGATAATAGTGGGAGAAATATAGAACCTTGAAATTCTTGATGAGGAGGATAAACACTAGGGAAGGAAGGAGGAAGTTCATTGTCTTCAGGTGCTCCAGGAACAAAACCCATAGTACCTGTACTACTAAAAAGCATGTTATAATAACTACAAAGATAATCTTATACACAAAGTAAACCAAATTAAAGTCATCAACAACTATATATATATATATATATATCTTATGTCTCGGTCTTTTCTTTTGTTGGTTGGGTTTGGTTGGGGGGGGCGGGGGTGTTGTGATGGCTAATGGGGACTTGAGGGGTGTTAATCAGGGCGACTCTAGGAGGGGGCGAGGGTATTTATCCAAACTCCTGACAAAAAATTACACTATATATATTAGAGTTTTTTAAGTGCGTATATATGTATATAAAAAATTCGAATCTCGTGAACACGAGATTAGAAGTTTGACTTAGTGGTTTAGGAAGTTCAAAAAATTCACCTTAAGTATTATATTTTTATATTACGAATCCAGGTAATGAAAATTCTGAATCCACGACGGACGGACGAGTGTTAATAATAAGTCAAGAGGGCTAATGGAGGAGAGGTTTTGAAGTGGGAACATGGAAGGTGATGAAGGGAACATTAACATGGGGTGGCAAGATGGAAACACTGGAAAGCCAGCGATGTTTTATTAATTATTTTTTTATTAAGAATTAACAACACATAACGTGAAATGTTATTAGATTTATTATCACACAAATATTCTCCTTACTTGCAATGTGATGTCCTTTTATTTTATTCTTCCTATAACTTGTGCTTTAGGTATCTAGATCACAATTCAATCTTTTTTACGTATTTTAAAAAAATTATAATAAGAAGCTACTATGTCAATTGTTTAAGATTATAAACTCTTGAGATTGATTAAAGTCACTAAACTTTACCTGTTATATCAGTACTGAAATCATAAAACTAGCTACTTGCTATATCTCATTAGTATATATTATATGACGAGAAAATACAATCATTAAACAGACTAAAGTTAACGGTAAAATTAGAAATTTTGAAAAAGGTATTCAAAACTTTAATTTATATCTTTACAAAGTTATGTTTGATATATATACACACAATATTATTATTATTATTATTATCCATATACACTACTTATAATTTTTCGATAAAAGTGTTAGAGTGACTACCTCAGGTGAATGTAGTCACGCCCCTAGCTAGATCGATGTATTTCATTAAGTCAATTGTTACGATGCTCAAGATTAGTAGACTGAACAACGTTATATTGTTCTAATGAGAGAAAATATAATAATTAGTTACCATAATTGAAGTCAACATGAGAATCCAAAGGAAACTAATTAGTGAAATTGAGGTCAGGTTTGGTGTGAAGTAAATGGTTTTTTCGTAAGTGATGATGTTCTTAATTTAATAGTTAATTAAATGGAAGTAATAATTAGAAGATGATGAATATTATGGTCTGCCGCAAAATCTGAACAAAGCATGTGGCTGGGCCATCTTTATAGACTTATTTCTTCGGTTCAAAATAAGTGGTGATTTTATTATTTTATTTTAATTTAAAATAAGTGATATTTTTGATAATAAAGAAGATATTAATGATATATTTTTTCAATTTTATTCTTTTTTAAATAAAGAAACTCTCCGTTCTACCCTACTTATTCTATAGGTAAGATTTTTATGAGCATGTTTAGACATGTATATTTGACCCTCTCCCCAATCCATAGCTCTTGGAGCAAAATTCCCTTGTAGAAGGACTCTCATTTCAATTTCACCTCCCTAACCCCTCTTAAAGGGAAGATGGTTGGTTATCTCCGGGAGGAATTCAAATCTAGAGAGATAAAACTCTTTCAAGAAGAAATAAGGCATTAGGCAATCTAGATCTTTTCTGTCATCAATTAACTCCTATTCCCACTTTTCGGGATTTACCTCATCAAAAAGTTATTATAGAGTTACATTTTTGGAAGTATTTTTATATTAATTATAGGTAGGTTCTTACCAAATTTGGAGAGTAGTTTTCTAAAATTAGTTGACTTAACTATGATTATGATATTTGTTAATGAAATATTATCTTGATCTTTAAACTTTAAATATGACACATGTCTCTAATCTAGACGTGGACTTGCGAAAAGGAGGGAAGGGTAATGGAGGGGAGTCGGATCCACTTTTTACTTGACACACCTATTAAAAAAAATAATTGACATAACGAGTTTACCATTTCACACCTATTAATTGATAGAAGTCCAAAATCAATTTACTCATTAAAGAGGTTCAACCTTTTTCAAAAATATTAACTCTCTAAATAAATTAAATTAAGGGTAGATAAAAAAAAATTGTCTTTTCTTTTTACATTTTTCTTATATTTTCTATCAATTAAAATTATATCACATAAATTAAACCATAATATAAAAACACATTGAAGTAAAATTCAAATTTAGCCTTTTGTTTTGACATTCCAACTCTACAAATGATTGATTCATTTAAAATAGTATTGATCCACAACCTAGTAAAATTTAGCGTCTTGTCCCTTTTGAGGATAATTTTTCAGTAAATGGTTAATTAATTTCTTAAATAGGTCGAAATCTTATATAATCTGCAATTTAATCGGTTCTTGGTGACTTTAGTACATGCAATGCGTTTTAAAATGATATAAAATTGCTACTTGGAAATTCAAAATCAAATCTTTAATGATCCCTATGATCCTGGGTTGTTTCTCACATGGTTTCATAATTTTATATTCTTGATTTTGAACCTTGACATAGTATGTCTTCATGTTTTTAAAAAATCATAATATCAAGTCATTTAAACGATAATTATTAGTAATTATTTATAATATATAAGTGGAATTAAAGTTTTTATTTCTTTTTATAATAAATGGAATTAATAATCTAAAAATACATAAATATTCTACTACAACACGTTAAAAGTCTATCTTGATCCATCATTTTTCAATATATACTTGTATTCGATATTGCGATCTGCCTCGAAGAGCGATGCATATAAATAAAAACTTCGACAACTTTACTACCTACTACGTATTAAAAGGCTAACTAGGTTAGGTATAGATGCACAACAATTAGAATTTGAGTACTATACCATTTGAACTGGGATAAATGAATCCCATATGATAAAAATAATGTGTGAATATTCATACCATATTACTAAATGCATCACATATATTTGAACATATATAATAATTAATGTATATTTTCACTAATATTAATTTAATAATTTTTTTTCATCAACAATTTTACTCAAAAGTTTTGGCCGCAAGAAGTGGGGATTCCATCTCCAAAGCCAAGTTAAAGTGGCTTACTTGCTATAGCTATTTAATTTATTAATTAAGTGTAGTACTTAATACATTATGGTAAAAATATATCTTTTACAAATTAGGCTCTTATTTTATCTTTAATGACATGACTTGTCGAAATCTTTACCATCATTTTATTTAAATGAAAAGACACGTGAAACTCTCATCACCATTCATTTAAAAGACAATTTCGATACTTTTAATATATTCGACTTACTTATCAAAAATCATTCTACTTTATATAAACACCAACATCTTTTTTGTAGTGCTTGATCAGCTAATGGTGGACTACAACTATCGTTCCTCAAACCAATTGACTTGCCCAAAAGCCACCCCAAATCCCATTTTCTTCTTACATTCAACTCTCTCAGGGTCGTTCAATAAACTATATTACAAAAAATAATGTATGCACTAACTTTTATAGAATGGAGTAAGAAAAAAGAATCGTTTGGTAGGATGTATAATGCATTATTTCGAGACAAAAAAGAATCGTTTGGTAGGATGTATAATGCATTATTTCGAGACTAAGGGAGTATGATTTAACAGAAATAGTTTGTTTCCTTTTTTATCTCTAAAAGTCATTGGCACAAATTCTCCACTTCAAATTCCTCGATTTGTCTACTTATTAATCTCTCGAAATCTTTACCCAATCTTGATTGATCTCTTTCCATCCACTGCTCTAACAACTACTCTATTCTTCTACTCAAATCAATTTCTACGCTGGTATTTAACAATGGGTTGCACCAATTCAAAGCCAAAAGTATGCCAAAAATGCAATGCACACTATTATTCTCCAGTGCATCGTAGCAACTCGACGAACAAACGTATTCCTATCGATAAAGAAGACTGTAGCATCCACCTGGTCTCTCTCACTTCCTCAACACTAGGATCTTTGAGACTTGATCCACTGAAACAACATATCAAAGATGATGAATTATTGTTCAAAAAAGATGAAGAGTTGGAAATGGGGCTGATTCAGACAAAGACATGGTCTCAAATGATCAATGAGAAAATCCCAAAAGTGATTCCTAAGACTACAATTACAACTTCTCCTGGTGGTGAACCAGAGAGTGTCAATGTTTGGGAATTGATGGAAGATCTTGAAGATATTAATCTTCTTGCATCTCCTCATCGTGTCTGTAGATTTTCTTTCGATGTCTTGGACAATCCTTATGATCAGCTTACGCCTCGACTGAAATCAAACTGTAGAGTTGCTGATCTTAAATTGGTGCAACAGAATGAAGACAAAGTGATTTTATACTTCACTAGCCTGAGAGGAGTGAGGAAAACGTATGAGGATTGTTGTTGTGTTCGGATGATTTTGAAGGGACTAGGTGTTAAGATCGATGAAAGAGATGTATCGATGCATGCAGGGTTTAAGAAGGAATTGAAAGAGTTACTACCAGGGGAAGGATACATGCTGCCAAGGGTATTTCTGGGGAGAAAATACATTGGTGGGGTTGATGAAATATGCAGAATGGACGAAAACGGACAGCTTGAGAAGGTAGTAGAAAGCTGTCAAAGGGTAGAAAATGGAGTTTGTGAGAGCTGTGGAGATGTTAGGTTTGTGCCATGTGAGACATGCTATGGAAGTTGTAAATTATACTATGAAGCAGAGTATGATGAAGAAGATGAGTGTGGTTTCCAACGATGCCCAGATTGCAACGAAAATGGGCTTATACAATGTCCGATTTGTTGTGACTAACATTCATCTGGTTTTATGGTGCTATCTATTTAAAAGGACAAAGATGAGCAAAGTTCAAGCCTAAGCTGATGGGTAGGAGCGGTTCTAAGGCGAGTTTTACAGGTTCAACTGAAGCATTATTTTCAGCTCAAACTATGTATACTTATGCAGAACAATTCTAAGCCCTAAGAATTCTAGGTCCTGAACTTTCTTCTGCTGCTGATAGGCAAAGGCTTCAAGCATCTAAACTAATGCAAATATCATCTAGCCAACAGATTATCCAACTTTTACTGCATATTCAACACATTAGTAGCAGTAGTATAATAGTTACACTTATCCAACTGTGAAACATGGTTGATAAGATTAGGTTCAAACAAATACTTTTCCAGCATCTGGCATGAAAGTACCAATAGCTTCCCAGTTTTTTCTGGCGCTAGGACTAGCAAGTCTAGGCAAATTCATAGCAGTAGTATGCGTGCGAATGCAGAATGAACGCAAGGTAACTTTGTCAATAACACGTAGATTAATGAATGATAAAATACCAGCTCACTGAAAAGCATGACATGTATGATCAACTTGTAATCCAATCAAGCGTATTACTTACATTGTACTCCCGTGAGTAGAGGAAATCAAATTGATTAAACCACGGTAATGACTGCACAATACCAACATGTTACCATAAGTATGAATCCTGTTACACCATGTTGTGCACTCTGCTTCAACTAGCTAAAATTGTTCATATTCACATTCATGTCTCCATGGACAGCTTACACCTTTGGACAATTCCATGTGGGCAGACATTGTGTCAGCCCTATTTACCAATTTGGTTCATCTCTATAGGAACTGTTTCTTTTTTGACACCATTGTTACCCAAGTCAGCAGCGACCTTGGCAGCCCGATTCAGAACATCTGAAACCCAAAAAGCTCCCTTGGAGAAGTAACTGCTGCTAACCACAGCGGTTGCAGCAGCTACGGCTGTTTTCCCTGTATAAGATGCAGCGGACATGGTAAGCTCAGAAAGATGGTACTTCTCGTCCACGCACTTAACAGTCTCCATGCCAGACTGAATTTTATCAGTAAGCCCAACTCTCTTGCTGAGATCTGCCACCTTTGCTGCTGCAGTAGATGACACATGATAAGACTCATCTAAAGCTTTGGCTTTGGTTAGCGCATCCTTACTTAGTTGATATCCCTTCACTATCATGGTTTCAACTACCTGCTGTGCCATGGTCACAGCTTCTCCAGGAGTTGAAACAAACTGATTTGTATGGACCTGCTAATTTACAGAAAGTTTTCAAAATGACATCAGGGAAGCTAAGCAACAACAACATACCCAGTGACCATTGACCAGTGTAATCCCACAAGTGGGGTCTGGGGAGGGTGGTGTGTACGCAGACTTTACCCCTACCTTGTAAAGGTAGAGAGGTGGTTTCCGGAAGACCCTCGGCTAAGTAAAGCATCAGGGAAGCTAAGGATAAAAATAAAACTGGAAAACAGCGGAATAAAAAAGAAAGAAAAAAGTGAGTTGTTTGAAGAATTAATTTGTTCTTACATCTCCACCAACATACCTCAGTCAATAGGTCTTATAACTTTCTGAATGAACTTTCCCCAAATTAACTAACAAGAGTCGAACTGAATTTTAGGGAACTCAATAATTGTGATAATGTACAAATACTTTTATCAAGGAAAGAATAACGAAAGGAAAAGAAGAATAGTAAAATAAGCTATTTAATTACATATCCTCAGCTCTAGAGCTCACCAAAGAAAGAAAATCATGATAAGCTCAGTTCACAAATTGGATACTATTAGCCGTGCAAACAGTCCCTTAAGAGCTAATTAATCTCAAAAGCGGAGCTGCCACTGAGATCATACTCCTATTAATTTACCGATGAATGATATAACATTTTTATTTTCATTTACCCTCATAGACAGGCAGTAAGAGAATTGATTGTCCAGACAAATAAGGCAAAACTTTAACTGAAAAGGAGATCAAATGGGAAAAACCTACTGCAGAGCTGCTTCCATTCTCCACCTTATCTATATAGTTATTCCAAGGATCGTCTTCATCTACATGGGCTTCCAAGCGAGATATACGAACACATTGATCTAGTATAGTGGATCCCTGAATCAAGGCTAAAAGGTTAAGAATTTTTTTATAGGTGCAAATTTGAAACATAAAATTAGCTGTATGAATTTATTGAATGCAGTACTAGCACCACCTAAGGAATAAATCTAGCATTTCACCCAATGCACATACTATGTCCAACTAAAAACAGAGAGAACAAGGTAAATGAAGAAAAAGAGCACAATGACGAGAAAACTAGATAGGGAATTAAAAAGAGCACAATGATGAGAAAACTAGATAGGGAATTAAAACATTAATTTTTTTATTATCGTGGTGTTCAGGCCAGCTACATGCACCTTGCCTAATTCATGGGATACCTGCCACCTCCCATGAATTAAAACATTAGTTTCAAATATAAAAGTAGAAAACTGGTATATACAACTCAAGCACAAGTACCAAGACGTCTCTACATGTAGATAGAGAATAGAAAAATGATATATCAAAAAGATTAGTTTGCAGATTCCCATGGCCTAGAATCAATGATCTACTGCATCTATGGTTGGTGGGTACACAAATAACTAGCAGCTTTGTTCAAAATAGTTATATTTTACCTAATTACCTTTTTCAAAAATTCAAAATATACAATCACATATTTACATGGTGAAAATACAAGATAGATCATATTAACTCGTTGCAACCATAGAAACCTAAAGGTATGTCAAGTAGTCAAATGTATTTGGAATTTAAGCATCCTTTTGTGCTATCACTCAGAATTGTTTGTCTCTAGGTTAAACTAAACCAAATAGAATGACACATAGGTAGTGGAATATAGTTTACCACCAAAGCTCATCTCACATAGCATCGATTGCTCTTATAGAGTTTCTTTTCTCCTAAAAAGGAATAAAAGCAAATGAGGGTCAAGGTTATAGAAACCTTGTAGGTAGTAATGTACAGAATGATATTGGATTTAAATACAGTGTATCGTGTCAGAGATAAAATTGATCACATTATTAAGAGAGATATTAGGTTTAAAGAATTGGCACAACAGATGGAGTCCACATTGCATTTGTTGCGGATATAAATATATATTTAATAAGAACATGTCCAAATAGGATAGCACATCAGAGCTCTTTAAAAGGACCTTCTAGGTGGTTGCACAAAGGCTGTTAATTTGTGTTCAGCTAGAAATCGAAAGGCTCGAACATTTATAAGTGAAAAGAACGAGACAACAATCTTAATTAAAAGTTCAAAACACTACGAAGAAAATTCATGACTAAGGAACGTAGATATAAATATAATATTTTTCATTGATGCTTCTAAAGCTTTGAGTCTAGAAAGTTACTGCAAGCACCTATTTTGGTAGATAATTGACTACTCTCTCCCTGGTTAAACAAAGAAATTATAAGCTTCAATAAGCATTAAACAAGCCAATAAAAAAATCTTTTTGATGTTCATCATGGTGATGATGAGTATAAAATTGACTCAGTAGCATATAGATATGCAGCATTGACTATGTAACGCCATTCACCTTGGAGGTTCTTTCTGCTAAGTAAAACTAACATAAAAGTGGAGTAAAGCAGAAACTTACGCTGAGTAAAATAGCAGTTTCCAGTGCATAACTATCCTTGAACGTAACATAGGCTATAGAAGCATATTCACTCAATCTGCATTCGATAAAGGCAACACTTGAAATCAGGAAGGGTTAAGAACATCCATCTTTTCTCACACAGCTTAATAGCATTGAACTCTCTCCATCTGCTACTTTTTTAAAAGTTTAAACATCGTTTTTGATGAAGAAAGTTTGGAATGCCCTATAGTGAGTTTCAGGACATTGAGATGATATGCTTCACTACTCACAATGGGTTGTCAACAGCAAACATTATCGGATCCTAACCTTGTTCTCTCTACACAAACATCTCAGAAATTATAGTAACACATAAGCTCTTGTTGACATTTCATAATGCTTTGAAGAAGTCACATGGAAAAGAGTGGCAATACACGTCTTATTTGACATATTTCACAAGGCAGAATTGCAATAGGACATGCAAACAGAATACTATTGATTAAGCATGTATATCAACTATTTCATCTTAGATAGACAAATTTTGGGAACCGCCAAGCATAAATTTACAGCACCGACAATAATCAGCTCGAAATGACAACTATGCTGTAGCAGAATTTGCAGGTAAACTCAAATAAATGAAAAGCTACCTGATGATCTCTACTTGTTCAATTTCACCACAGTGAGAGAAAAACTCATCGACATCTTTCTCTGTAGCTTTGGTAGAAAGACTCGTGACTTCTGCTGTGTAATGACCCAAATACATGGATAGAGACACGGTTCAAGTCCCAAGTAAAGGTGGCTTAACCTGATTAAATCAAGAAGAATAAATCATTCAAATTTCATAAGAGCTAAAATATAAAAGTTAACTTAAATTCATTGATTTATCATCATGTCAATACTTCTCAATCCATGGCTTGTCGAGGCCACTTTTAAGGGAAAGAACATTGAAAAAATTAAACAGATTCGATCTTTAAGATCCTTGTATAGACATGAAATAATGTATGATCAAGCTATTCATTTCCAAAACTCCTTTATATCAGAAATATTATTCTTACCAAGTTAAATAAAGACAAACATATGCTTTAGGATGTAACATCTGCAATTATCTTGAAATAGAAGAACAAAAAAAGATACCTTATGAAGATCAATGATATTTTTTGTATGAACAAGTAAGAAGCACACACAAATAGCAATTATCTTTATCAGGTTAAATAAAGATAAACATATGCTTTAGGATGTAACATCTGCAATTATCTTGAAATAGAAGAACAAAAGAAGATTTTGTATAAAGATCAATGATATTTTCTATAGCACAGCTCCCAGATTAAAAAAGGGTGTTCCAATAACTTTATCAGCTCAACAGTGCTAAGTGCATTCTGGCTATTGAAATAG